ACAAAGCAAAGTTGTTTAATCAAACTAAGGTAACGTGATGTATTTTCTTTCGTGACAGGAACTCCACTATGTCAAAAAACTTAAGAATTTTAAGAAGTTACAAAGATCAATTAGAGCACACTTAAAATTGGGGAAAATATAATAAAGATAATAAAGTAAAGTTGTTGATATACTCAAGAATTAAATTGAAAATAGACTTTAATTCGATTCTCAGCCCTATTTGAATGACATTTCCATTTTAGTTCATTTCGCACAATAAAAATGGAAAAAACGATCTGAAATGAAGTTATTATAAAGCTCTTTATCAAAATAATGGTATAAATCTGTCAAACAAAAAACTATTTCCGAAACCATGATATAATTTCCTAAAAAAAACTATTCCCGAATCCATCATGTCAAAAAGCCGTAGGGGAGTCCCCTTGATATTATTTATTATTGTCTTCCTAACCTTATTTCTATTGATTTAACGTGTCCAATCCTTATTCTGTACATGTACATTGTATAATGTTGTACTTAATCGTAAACCTGTAAGTATTTCTCTCAAATAATTTATTTTAGGTCAATTTGTACATTGTACATACAATAATATAAGTTCTTAAAATCTATGTACAGATTAAAATCGTTCTTGAATACTATAATATTTACAGGATTTAGCGCATTTTCTGGCATGAACTCGCAAATCTTTTCATAAAGCATCCCGTATAGTAGTTTTATGGAGCCCATTATAATTTGAATAAATAAACATGCGTGGAAGTTTCAATGTTTGTACAAATCGTAAATATTTCACAATACTTTCATCTGAAATGATTTACCCCCGTCTCTTGGATTCGATTTAGTTTCGGTTTTGATTATACTTGTTTTAGAACCACCTCACATGACATAACAAGTTCTGTTTTTCAATTGTTACACAGAAATCTTAGAAATTTGATTTAGATGGGAATGTGTACGGCTGCTTTTCATAAATGATCAAACAAAAGCTTTGTTTGTTTTTGTTTGTTTGTTTCATTTTACGCCTTTTCCCAACAAAATTTCAGTCATATAGGCGGGTAGTTTCCTAACCATCGTTCCTGGAGAGTTACACCAGTACTAGACTACCTTCTTCCGCGCTAAACTACCAAAGCATCTCCCGGGGATCGAACCCACGCCAGAGAGGTAACTGGATTAAAAGTCATCGACTCTAACCCCTCGACCACGGAGGAGGTTCAAACAAAGCTAGATGGTAGTTGAATAGCTTGCTTTAAAGGGTATGAACAGTTTTACCCATAATGTAAGGTATACTTAGTGGTGGTGTAAGTGGTGGTGGCAGTTTTCACTCCGGACCACATTGAATTTACCAGAGCACAGTTCAGCCACCGCATCGTTCCTGGACAGGCTGTCAAGCAGTTTACTAGTACTAGTTGCTTTCACTTTCGCAAGGATATGATAACTTCTGTACATGCCTGAGCAGAGGTACATTGTGAATGACCATAGAGAGGATTCCATTATCACACCGTATAATTACCGGCGGCAGTGATGGCAGATCACTGCAGTGATGGCAGATATCTGAAAATTACCGATCGGTACAGGTAGGTTATAAATTTGGTTGGTTTAATTATATTACACAAAAACGGCCCATATCATTGCTATAAAACTATTGTCCATTGAATGGAGATACTGTAAGGTAATTTTGGACTCGTTTTTTCTTGTTTTAAGACTATTTTGAGCAGGTTAAAAGTGAAAGCCTTGGAAAAAATCCGTGAAAATGTCTGTTTTCTGTTCAAAATATCTCAAGTTTTAAGTAAATGGCAGGATTTCCTGTTATCAATATAGACGTTCATCCATTGGGGTCACGCAAGCCAAATATCTACCCCGTGAGTCTTTTCTTGAAAGTTTTACAGACGCTCAATCTTGTCCGGTCGAAGAAAAAATGCTGCCGTTGTAGGCAGATACATATTATAAATGCTGCCGTCGATGGCAGAAATACCACGAAAGTGGCTAACATTCTGACAGAAAATCAAGTTCAATCGATTATCAATTCCTCTTTTCTTTGCGTCCATTTAGTCGGAATTGAGACGTTAAACTATCATTTCTAATATTTTCTCAAGATAGAAAAGTTATTAATGCGGTGTGTGCATCGAAAACAGCTTTTTAGCAACATGCAGTTACAATACAAAAAGTGATGATTTAGTACCACAAAATTTCACTATAAATAGAGAAATGAACATGAAAAACTTCATTTTTCTATATTCATGCATGTGTGCTTGATCTGTTCATATGAATTGAAAGGTCAAAAATTGAAAAAGAATATAACAAATAAAAAAATTCTAGTTTTTTTCCTGTAAATACAGAATTTATTTTCATCTTGTGATATGAATCATCGAAAGGTTCATCTTTATAAGTTGTCATGGTTACAACTAAAATGAATGAAAAAATATATAGTTAAATGGGAGCACGTGATGTTAGAACTGTTGTTAATAGTTTAGCATAGTAAATGTAATTCAAAGGCAAACTACAACGCTATTACAAACATGAAAATTTAAAGAAATGAATCCACGTTGCCGTGTTTTTCAAGAACTTGATAATATAGGAAAATATTTGAACTGTCAATAATATTATCTTTCCATTTTACATTAACATACATGGTTTTATGATACACTGATGCCAGTTGCGAGGTTAATAGTCTGCCCTTTATTACATCAATTTAATAATTTATAATCTGCGCCGATTAAGTAAATTTCAGCCTTTATTTGTCATAAAGCGATGAACATTATTAACTCGAGAAAATAATGGCATATGCTAGCAAATGAATATCCACTTACAGAAGTTACTTGCTGTAATATGCAATCGGCGTTATGTCTTAAAAAGGGAGTGCGCTGCTAAACTTAAGATACATATAGTATTGTATGCATGTAACTGACAGACACAACAGATCAAGCACACATGCATGAATATAGAAAAATGAAGTTTTTCATGTTCATTTCTCTATTTATAGTGAAATTTTGTGGTACTAAATCATAACTTTTTGTATTGTAACTGCATGTTGCTAATAAGCTTTTTTTCGATGCACATACCGCATTAATGAAAAAAAATCAAAAAATCTACAAAACAGCAATTTTTCTTCAAAATTATATGTGAGGCCATGTTTTAACATGGAAAAACGCGTTTTTGGGTAATTTCGTTTTTTTTTCACCATTTTCTGTTAACCCATTACCAGATATATACGCCTTTCTACGCCTTTTTCACCCCCCCTCCTTTTTTGCTTTCTCAAATGGTGAAAAATGCCTTATTTAGGCCCCCAAACACTTGTTTTTGTTTGATAACTGTTGTTTAAAAAATTGACCACTTTTTCGGCGCGCCCCCCCACCCCATCCAAAAGATACATCAGGGGGTTGCCAGAAGGGGGATGTGCCCCCTTCTGTTTGGGGGGTTTGAAGGGGGGCTGAGTCCCCTCATCTCCAAGAAATCTTTGGACTTGCGAGAGGCTAAAAATAGCCCCAGGTCGACCTTAAGAGGTTACATGTAACAAACGCTGAAAAGCCTTTGACCTTATCTCAATCCATTGAGAAGTTGCAGCACTTTGGTGTCAGTTTTGATAAAAAAAAATCAACGCAAAATAGTGATTTTTGTCAATTTTGAGATGTCCACTCGTTGCCATGGTAACATGAAATTTAGGATTGAGTATGCGGTTACAAAGGCTATGGTCCAGTCAACATTTGTGCCAAGTTTGATTAGTATTGAAGCAGTTTTTATAGTTTTATAGCAACGGGAGACCTTTCAATGAAAACAGCCATTTTTCACAAGATGCTCATGGGGTAATGGGTTAATAACTTTTCTATCTTGAGAAAATATTAGAAATGATAGTTTAACGTCTCAATTCCGACTAAAAGGACGCAAAGAAAAGAGGAATTGATAAAAGATTGAACTTGATTTTCTGTCAGAATGTTAACCACTTTCATGGTATTTCTGCCATCGACGGCAGCATTTATAATATGTATCTGCCTACAACGGCAGCATTTTTGCTTCGACCGGACAAGATTGAGCGTCTGTAAAACTTTCAAGAAAAGACTCACGGGGTAGATATTTGGCTTGCGTGACCCCAATGGATGAACGTCTATATTGATAACAGGAAATCCTGTCATTTACTTAAAACTTGAGATATTTTGAACAGAAAACAGACATTTTCACGGATTTTTTCCAAGGCTTTCACTTTTAACCTGCTTAAAATAGTCTTAAAACAAGAAAAAACGAGTCCAAAATGACCTTACAGTATCTCCATTCAATGGACAATAGTTTTATAGCAATGAAATGGGCCGTATTTGTGTAATATAATTAAACCAACCAAATTTATAACCTACCTGTATCGATCGGTAATTTTCAGATATCTGCCATCACTGCAGTGATCTGCCATCACTGCCGCCGGTAATACGGTGTGATTATCAATCACAACGAAATTGTCCAAAATCGAACCCGGGTCGCCCGATTCAAGCTCCAACGCTCGACCTATTGAGCTAACCGGGCGGCTTATGTAATGTATATAACATCAGTTCTCTTTTAAATTAAAATATTAAGTATTTTCGACATACATACAGCGAGCACACACACGAGCGCACACGCACGCGCGCACACATGTACTCGTTTAAGTTAAGATGGAACAAATGTTTCACAGTTAACAAAAAATGTAAATAGTTAGTGTGTGCCCTATAGTTGTTTAACTTACATATCTTAATTTGCAGGTTACTTCACAATAACAACCATTCAAGCCTTTAAAACGCCACTAAAAATCAACCATGACAGAAACTCAACAAAAAACACCCTTTTTAATATAAATAACTACAAAATACATTCAAAATTTTGAGTCACTATAGATTTTATAAAGTACCAACAAATATCACCGTTACATTTTCCCTCCTCGTTTGTTTACGATTTGTCATATATACATATATCGCCATTGTTATTATCAATTGTTTTTGAAAAAACTTTATCATGGAAAATCAAGGAAGAAATTTTGTATTACGAAAGACAATGAAACTAATAAATCTGCTTTAAATTAATTTCCGGTCTTACTATGACGTCATAACTGTGTGAATTCCATGACCTAACACTGTGATCGCCTCGAATTTCGTAATACATTAGTAACCTAGTAACTGTTATTGTGATTAAATGTGTTTCCGGTATATACCCCTACTTCCTGTCTTATTTGATGTTTCAAATACTCGGCACAAAATATTTGAATGTATAAATAACAATAAGCACAAATCTTTACTTGCGTATTTTATTGTAAACAGCTATATATATAAAAACAAATTTTCACAAAGATAAAATTATAAATAAACACTTAGAAAAAAACACATAAATTTAGTGATATAGTTGATAACGAGGTAGACAAACATAAAAATGCAATGCTGATGCCATAAAACAAATTAAAACGTCGTGGTTCTCTATGTAAAGAGATATCAACATGTTATAATAAATAAGAAACTTCACATTATTATCACAGAAAAACAACACACATTTTGGCAAGTAATGTAACAATATATAACACAAAAATAAGCAATACTTTCAATGCATAATTATTGACTAGAATGAATTTGTTTGAACACAAAATTATGCACCCCTACCCCCCTGCCCCCCCCCTGCCCCCACCTTCATGACTGTCAGCGCGCTATGTAAAAAGTACAACTATATGAACAATACTTGTATATGTACGGCCATTCGTTTGCATAGATCTATATAATTCTTTTTTTTATAATATATTTTTTTATAAAACTTATAAACATTATAAAATTCTTTTTGAGATCATTGGAACACAAGGTAAAAAAATACTATTAAGCTAATTTCCGTTTCCCGTCATCATCGTCATTACACTTTGAATATATTGATGGTATTGTCCAGTGACGATATGAAAACATTTTCCTTATTCATCGTGTCCGGGCATATACTACCATTTGCTTTCAAAGAAGAAAATGATATTAACGTGCTCGGAATGATCTCGGGGTCGTTCCTGTTTTCCGAAACTGGCACGGCGAAAACTTTACGCTGGAAATGCTGTTCCCCTTCTTGATATTTATAAAGTCTGAGGAAGTGAGTAAGTCTCTTTACTGGATCGTTTCTTTCAACAGCAAATGTGAGAACGGAGAAGATCCCGTATGTTCCATTTTCCGGAACAATGACACACGGCTCGTTTGGGTCCGGGATAATTCCATTATTTGCGTGTGTAACTGGTATCCATCTTATGTTTTCTCTTTTTGTATCTAAAATTATAAGGTACAATGTACAAATCAATTGAAGAACATTTTCAATATGCTATGAAAATTAAATACATTTAAGAACTTATTTTTCAAACTTAAAATAACATGTAAAAAAAACAATGCAATATAAGCATAAACTGATTTGTTTTGGAAAGATCTCGCTCAAAACAAAAGTGAAAATTTTGAGACTGGGTCTTGGGAGTATACAAAGGGGATTTATGCATGATTTTCAAATAATTTTCCTTTGAAAGAGGAATTTTAAAGACTGTAACAAAAAAAAAAACCAATAACAATATCAAGCGCACTCGCGCATATCAGCCATCAAAACACACGATTTGATTTATATCTGGCACCATTACTGATGGATTCATTTTGTGAATTTTCAAGAGACACAAAATCCATGATTTTCATATTTTGATTCAACGGGGATTTTTTTCTTTTAAAAAGTAAGCGGGTCATACTTTTTTTCGCCAAATGAGAGTCCTGGGAGATGATAGGTCATTGTTCAAAAGAGAAACCTTAAGTGGATGGTATTGTTACATGTGGTCATAATTCAATTATTGTCTTTATCGATCAAAGGTTACCGATGATAAAACTGTTTTGTATATACATAGTTGTTTGAACTTGAAGTCTATATATGCTCACCATCAAAATATTTTTGGTTCAGCTTGAAACGCCCCCAAATCTTCCCACTTTGATGTCCTGGAAAAAAAATACCAATGAACATTTATGAGAATGCTAAGCAAGAAGTAATTGAAAGACAGATGATCATCTTTGATATACGTATATAGGATCATAGTTTTTTATACACCCATATATAGTTGTATGCAGAGACATATGTGATATACATATGTATTTTAACGTTTCTGTTGTACATGTATGTAAATGAAAATTAATACAGAATCTTAAAGTACCTGTATATTTCCCTTAAACTAAATACATAAAGAGACTTTGAAATAACCTAATATTAATTATATTAAGAAAAATGAATTGTAGTTTTCCAATCTATATTAAGATGTTATTGATTTGTAGGCGTGTCAGACACAATCACTTGCGTTAAGAATTGTCGGGTTTATTGATAATACAAAACTAACCCAATCTAAACAAAAAGTGCCAAAGAAAAGCTAACCTTTTAATTTTGACGGCTGTACTGGTACATTTTGTACATCCACCGGTTCAGGCTGAAACATAAAGAACACTAAAAATAGTTTCGCTCTTGATTTAATCAAAGTTTCGGTTTTGGTTTCCATACCTGTGTAAAATGAAACTTAGGTGGTATAAGCTGTCCCTAGGTAAGTTAAAATTAGGCCAATTTTGAATGGATCTAATATGTATTGCAGTTATAAAATTTATAAATAGATGCAAGTGTAGCGCACTTCAAGGTGTTTTTTTTTAAATATAATTTCAGTAGGCAATTGGGTCAAAATCACTTAATTCGTGCCAGGTTCCACGTGTTTGCGTGGTGATTCCCGATAATTTTCAAAAGTTTACCTATCTTTGCCATATATATCTTCACAAGCCAACATGTTTTAAATCTGCAAGAATTTTTGTAGTATGGTATATATATATATACAGTAAATTATATAGTATATATAAAGTTATAAATATACGATTTATATAATAAAAAATGTTCATTTAAAATACTTTAATTATTGATTACTTGAGCTCACCTGGTTTGTGTTTTCTCTCGAGAAGTAGATATAAGTTACGCCACCTATTGCTATCAAAGACAGTACAATCGCAACTTGTACATTACATAGTAAGCCACCCATTCTCGTTGGACACGCCTGATTTGATCCAGGTGTTGGTTTTTTAGATTCTGGAAACATTGTGACATCTTGTTGAGCGTCCATGGTATTTTCAGCTTGTTCGTTATATTGTTTATTCAAAATCTTGCTTTTATTTAGTAGTACCAGCTAGATTTGAATTAAAGTACGGTATAAATTTATCTAAGTAACTTCTCCAGTAAAGTATTTTATTGGTATTGAAGTATTTGTTGTTCTAAATTAAATATAAATGACTATAAATGTAAAATGTATAACTATATATACTATCAGGGAAATTGAATATTTAGTGGTTTCCATACAATAATCTAAAATTGGCTTTCCCCTCGCCCACTCATGCTGTTTCGTAAATGAATAATACTGGTAAATTTAGGTAACGCTGGCCTAATGCTGAAATCATGTCACATAGAATAAACGCTTCACTGAAATAACTTCCGGTCGAAACTACAACTAAATTTTTAGATTTTTGGGATGATCTGATCAAAATGCTTTAAAATACAGCATTGTCATGAGTTTCCACTTTGTTACCATTAAATTTGTCAATGACAGAAGTTGCTTCGTTGCATTATCTGCGAGTATTTGTCAAAATCATGGAAAAGAGGTAGAGCTACTTTCACTTTATAATTTATCAAACGAACTCCCTTACTGGTCGGGGACCATCAACCAGACACTTTTTGAACATTTTTCCATACAGATTTCATAATTCTAAAGCTGAAGATTTTAAAATTTGACACAGTACAACTAGGTTCTTCTCCTAACTAAAAAACTAGTTTGTTTATTTCTGACTATGTTGACACACAGGAACTTGAAATTCTATCAAATAACCAATAATATGAAATTAGGCAAAGCCTATGAACGGGGAAGTCGTTAAAAATTTCCTTTCATTCTTTCCGTTTTAAAGGTGTCATTCGGTATGCACCGCTTCCGTTTTCACTCGGAACACTCGACGATTAATTATTAATCCGAAAAGTTGAGATTTGTTCCGTTATCGGAATATCCCGCCTATTATCATTGAGTTACATTGTAAATGGCGGCGCCCGACTAGAATTGACACTGAAAATTTCATTGATAGGTATAGAATTCTATATATTTTTTAATTGTTTTTTATTTGATTTTCTTTTAAATATACACATGTAGTCTATAGCCGGGCAAGCCAAAGCCCGGACCCGCTTCGCGGGCCCGGGCTTTGACTTCCCCGTATTAATGATAATATCCAAATATACCCCCTATATACTATAAATAAATTTAAGGAATGAAACGCCTTTTCCCCACCCAAACATAATTTACGCCGAACAAATCAACAAAACAACGGATCAAAATAATCTATCTGGCCATTTCGATAAACAATACATAAAGGCATCAAATACCACGGAAACTTTTTTTAATTCAATTAAAAAAAGTTTCAGTGGTATTTGATGCAATTAAAAAAAGTTTCGGTGGTATTTGATGCCTTAATGTATTGTTTATCGAAATGGCCAGATAGATTATTTTGATCCGTTGTAATAATAATTGCGTAGCTATGTAGGAATAATTCAACATTTTCTGATTATTTCCCACGATCTGAGTTTGTCGCCGACTCCATTTTGTGACGTCACTGGATTTTGATCAAATTTTAGTTTTAATTATCATTAAAACTCTGATTAATTAAACATTAATTGAATGTTTGCAAACTTACCTGTCTTTGTAGTTTTACATCAAAGCTATGCACGTGCACTTAGATAAAGATCATTAAAATTTAACGTAAAAAAGACGTTATTTTATTAATATTTCGATATCAATCAAATGCATTATTAATTTTACATAAAAGAACTATTTAAAGACATTGATTTACAACATAATAGTGACGAATAGATCGAAAGTAGGGGACGAGTTGACCATATCAGGGACGAGTTGACTCTTTGAGGACGAGTTGACCAAAAGTAGGGGACGAGTTGACCAAAAAGGTGACGAGTTGACCAGGGGATGAGTTGACAAGGGGACGAGTTGACCGGATTGCAAATTTTCAACGTCAACGTTCCTGAAATAGACATTAAAATATAACTGTTTACGAAAGTTGAAATAAATTTAATTAGAAGAAACATGCATTTATTGTTGATGAAAAAGCAACTGATAGATCTACAACCTCTGAACAAAGAAAAAAAATAAATCAAGCATTTTCAGGGCCGTCCTGGTTTGGTGGTTGTCCGGTTTTTGTGGTACCCAACCAGTATGGCCTTAATTTTGGAAATTATAGTTGTCACTAATTAAGCCTCGTTACATAAGGTAAACTGCGGATAAGGACCAAACTAGGTTAGTCTTGCTTAGTAATTCATAGTTCTGACTTCCAAAACTTTAAAACCCGCTTTATTATATAACATTTTTTCTTTCGTCTGTAGTCCAATTGATAGATCCTTACTCTGACCTTTCATTTTAATAGCAATTACTTTACCCACATACATTGACATGTGCTCTTTTCTTAACAAATATGTTGTGGCAAAATTCTTATTGTGTCCACTAATCTGATAATTAGAATTTGGACAGGTCAGGGATCTATGCATATAATCAGTCTTTACGGGCTTGTTATAGTTTTGTCAGTCAAGACTGATTGCTTTGCCCAGAAGCAAAAATATTTCGAAGCTACGTCATATTTATAGGACTATTTCATCTGATGGGGTGTTAAAAGTTTCAGACCCTTTATGAAACCTAATTTCAATAAGACATGTTTGTGAAACCATGTTTTGATTTGCAAATGAGCCGCGTCACGACAGAACTAACATACATGTAGTGTGTTTGCAACCAGCATGGATCCAGATCAGCCTGCGCATTCACGCAGTCTGACCAGGATCCGTGCTGTTCGCTTACTAACTCTATTGCAAGTAGAGAAACTGATAGCGAACAGCATGGATCCTGATCAGACTGTGGGGATGCACAGGCTGGTCTGGAAATGTAATGATTCGCCACACTAATGATTCGCCACATAACATTTCAACACAGAGTAATAATGGTTCGCCACAGTTAAATAACGATTAGCCACGTGTTCAAATACGAACTTTTTCACACCTGTTTTCAAACAGTTGATGGAAAACTTTTTTCCATTTTATATTTCATTTGTTAATTACATAAATTAATTACAGTACAGATAACGAGGAATATGCAAAATCCTCCGAGGATCGAGGAATCCACTCGCAACTCCGCGAGAGTATTTGTCCATAAAAACGAGTGACTCCGAGTGAGAAACGTGAGATGAGAGCGACTCCGAGACAAAAATAACAGCGCGTGACTCCGAGCGAGAATTACCGCGTAACTCTGTGTCAGTGTCTAGCTGGTGTAAATAAATGCAAGTGCAATCTCATTTTATATTTTATTTAATTTTTTAGATTACCATTCAAAAATAAAGATGATTTTTACCGAAGTTGAAACAGTTGAAAGGTACATTTGATCAGAAAAAACACTACCGTAAGTGTCATCAGTTTATTTTTATCCCGATTAATTAGGTCAGTAGCAATAACCACAGGAACATGAAATTCTATCAAAAACAAAAAACGATTAAAAAAAATTCCATATAATAATGGCCCAACTTTTTTGTATACTTCTTTATGAAAAAAGAATAATTCAGATTATATAAACTTCATTAATCTTTAAATGTCTTTCTTGTCCTATTAAATCACTGCGAAGTTCCTCAAGAAAAAACCTACAACTTCCTTTTAAAATAATCTATGAATTTATGAATTAATAATTTATGAAATTTCTATATTTTTTGTATGTTTATTTATTATACACCATCATATTTTCTTAGATGTAAATGTTTCTAAATGTATCAAATACCGATACGTGCCAACGTTTATGTTGTAATTTATTTCAGTTTGAGTTTTTTTTTCAATTTCGAAAATGAGTTTCGATCTACATAATATTCTAATCATTGATAACAAGTGTAACATGCACGGTCTAGCTGTTATATATATAATTTTTCTTGTGGCTACTTTACCAGTTGATTAGTTACAAATGATTATGCAATAATTTGTTTAAACTTTGGAATCAAGTTTAATTAACTAATGTTATAACAGTAATGTGCTTGAAAGATAATAAGTGGTCCTTGAAATTGATATAAAATTGGGGTGACACTTTTAAGGCTACTTAATATATATAGAAAAACCACTTGGATATCGAGTTTTCAATACTTTAGTAATAACAAGTACACCTAACGCAATGTTAAATTGATGCAATTGAAATACTTCGTAAATAGTGCAAGAACCCAAGTAATTAAACTAAAATATTAATTAATTAATTCTGTGGTGTTGACACTTCGGCAGCTGGACAGAGACTGATTGTCCACAGCTTTGAGCTCTATTTATACCCAATAATTTAGTTATACTTAATGATCGTTTACTGAAATTGAAGAAATCAAGCATCCAAGAGATATTGATAATGGGTCGAATATTGGTACGAATGGCATTGAGTTCGAATGACTTTAAGGACGAATTGTTCTGATATTTTAGAAATCATAAAAATATGCCCGTTATATCAAATAATTGCTACGAATAAGTTGTTAAATCTAATCATTTAATTTTTATGTATTTTTTTTTACTTATTTATAAAAGATTAAACTATATATTTAAACACAAGATTACTGTTTAAATTTGACTTATAAGCAATTTAGGTATAAAACCACTAAATATCATTATAGAATCTAGGCAGAATAGAACAATCGTCACACAAGTGCATATCAAACAAATCTGTTTTGGCTAGTACATTGTTACAAGGGAACGTTATGTATATATCTCGTATTATCAACCAACAATTAAAAGGAGACGTACATGTACTTCACATGGAAAGCATTTTGGTATCATTTATGTAACTCGTATAAATTTATCTAAAAGCCTGACTTAAAAGTATAAAATTACCTTTTTCAGAAGTTTACTTTCCAAGGCAGATGTATTTCACTGAAGAAAACTTTGTAAACTGTCTTAAAGAAAATGTAATTTTGAATTCAATTCTGGTACAAAGTATAAATTCCCTTACGATAGTTATGTCAATGGAATGAATAGACCTAAGGCATGTGGTTGTTTTGCCATGTTTTTCAATTCTTTTTTTTTTTTGCTTACATAATGATTATTAATTTTTATAAACAATGCAAAAATGAAGCTCATCTATATTTTACTATTTTAGAATACTACATGTAAATTAAATAGGTTTTTGACACTGTGTGACACGGGAATTGCGGGAAATCATCGGTTACTATTCTTCCCTTTTGATATGAATGAATCAAGTGTGTCTACTTTCGTTTTCACTAGCTATACTTTACATCAACGAAGAATTTTCGACAACATTTTTACTTTGAATGAATAATACATGCGTTCAAGGATTTTAGTTTAGAGGTAGAGCATTATATAAATAAATAAATAAAGCATACCAGATCAGTCTTATTTACTCAGAGTCACTCTTTTTGACTCGGAGATTCACGGAGTCCCGGGGAGTTAATTGTCACTCGTTATCGACGCGGAGTCACTCTTTTGTGTACGAGAAATTTAAAATTCACTCGGAGTCACGCTTTTTGTAATTACTTGTTACTCGCAGCAATCTGCATATTCCTCGTTATCTGTACTGTATGCTAAATACAGCTTT